TTTGAGCTTATAAAACTTAAACTTTGTTATTTATTAATTAAATGAGCGATCGTTTCGCTTGATAAGACCCTTATTCATCGTCTGGAATCGTTTAAAGCCCTTTGAACAGTTTGCAGTTTTCACTGAATCTGTCTTTTGGACCTGAACCGTTTGGTTCCCATTGAAGTCCATTATATGGAGCATAAAAATGCTGGAATGTTTTCATCAAAAACCTTAATTTCTTTTCGACTGAAGAAAGAAAGAGATATCTTGGATGACATGGAGGGTGAGTAAATTATCAGCAAATGTTTTCAAAAGTGAACTACTCCTGTAATAAAGTGATAGATCGACATTTCTACAGTATATACCACCTGGAAAAGTAAAAATAATGAAACAAACAGTAAGAGAGAGATACTGAATCAAAAAAAAGTGAATTACACCAATCAGATTTCCTTCAAGAGAAAGAAAGACAAACACAGTACAGAAAACTGGAGGTACCACATGGCACAATGTTAAGTGTCAGATGGTACACAAGTACAGAGAGAAACTGACATTGACACAGAACACACACCCATCTGTGATCCTGTGTACTGACACTACCCAGCAGCTCCAAACCACAGTGAGTCTTATAAAGCCTAGTTTAGACCAGATCCCTGTATTAAATCCCACCATAAACCAGAACTTAGAGTATTAAATCTCTGTAAAGCTGGCTGGGGTTCGGCGAGGTCCAAACCAAACCAATCTCGCTCCAAAATCACACTCCCACAACCTCAGACCTGTCCGCATCCAAACCCAACACACTCCCCCCAAACGTTTATTTACAGTCTAAACCTGTCACAGCGCCCGTCCTGTCTGACATCAGCAGACGAGCAAAAACATTTGAAGAAATACTGCAATCTACAAGTTCTCGCCAGAAACACTGCCGCTTCGTTCTCACGGCTGAAACACAGGACCTCTGTGAAAGCAGCTTGAACTGGAACACTCTCATTGTATCTTATCATCGACGAAAGGTTTATCACCCACACATATACACTCCTCTGGAGATGATGTCATGAGATCTGGAAGGCAAAACTTGAAGAAACAGAAATGTGGGTCTCGAGAAATTAGAATAAGTGATCCTGATTGGTCAATCTTCTTAAATATAATTGCATAATTATTTTTGGGGGCCGATTCCATAAAAAAAGTCTGATATTGGCCGATATTATTAATGTGTATATTATAATAGAGTACACTCTAAAAAATGCTGGGTTGTTTTAACCCAATTTTGGGTCAAATATGGACAAACCCAAAATGCTGGGTTAAAAATGTAATGTAAAAATTTAACCCAACGGCTGGGTTAGTCCATATTTGACCCAAAGTTGGGTTAAAACAACCCAGCATTTTTTAGAGTGTAGCAATATTATGTACTGTATGTGTATTGTAGTACAGTACCAGTCAAAAGTTTGGACACACTTTCCTATTGGCTGTGAACAAATATTTTCCCGAGTCAACTCGTTCATTTCGTTCGTTGAATGAACCAAATCACTGAAAAAAGATTCGTTCATTTTGATGAATTTTTTGAAATTCTCAATGCTTTTGATGAAAGCATTTGAGCTTATAAAACTTAAACTTTGTTATTTTATTTATTAAATGAGCAATCGTTTCGCTTGATAAGAGCCTTATTCATCGTCTGAAGTAGTTAAAAGCCCTTTGAACAGTTTGCAGTTTGCACTGAAACTGTCTTTTGGACCTTGAACCGTTTGGTCCCCATTGAAGTCCATTATATGGAGAAAATCAAGGAATGTTTTCATCAAAAAACCTTAATTTCTTTTCGACTGAAGAAACAAAGACATGGACATCTTGGATGACATGGGGGTGAGTAAATTATCAGCAAACGTTTTTTTGGTCCCACTTTATATTAAGTGGCTTTAAGTACTATGTACTTACATTGAACAATAAGTACAATGTATTATTGTGTTCCTGTTGTATTGTAAAACACTTTTGCTGCTATTGAGGTGTGATACGGGTAAGGTTAGGGACAGGTGTGGTGGTATGGGTCGGTTTAAGGGTAGGTTAAGGTGTGAGGGGAGGGTCAACTGTGTAATTACAAATGTAGTTATACTCTAAAAAATGCTGGGTTGTTTTAACCCAACTTTGGGTCAAATATGGACTAACCCAGCCGTTGGGTTAAATTTTTACATTACATTTTTAACCCAACATTTCGGGTTTGTCCATATTTGACCCAAAATTGGGTTAAAACAACCCAGCATTTTTTAGAGTGTACATAAATTAATTATAGCTGTAATTACATGCTAGAATTTTAAAATGTAAGTACAATGTAAAAACATGTATGAACACAATAATTCCATTGCATCAAATTATTAATTTCAATGTAAGTACATACTTAAAGCCACTTAATATAAAGTGGGACCGTTTTTTTTTTTTTTTTAAAGTGAACTACTCCTTTAAATTTGTATGGATTTTTTTCTAATATACACCTAATCACACCAGCTGTTGGAAAAACATTGCTAGTTGTTATAAAGCCAGTAAACAGACGAGCTACTCGTCACACTGCAGTTAGAATGAAGCTTCGCTAATTCGTACTCCTCCAACAATGCTGAATAGAGATGAGAGGACTGTAAAACCCACATTAACGATGAGTCCGGCCACACTGGCACAGGACTGAACCCTGGCTTTAGCTGACGGCAGCGCTCCCAGTTTTTACTGAGGATCTGAAGTTGAAATAACGTATTTTATTGAGTGTGAGTAACGTCTGTAGCGGGATCCGAGAGAGCTCTCGCACAATTGATCAAATATTTTCACTGGCTTCCTGTATAAAGCTCTCTAAGCCGCAAACCAAAACCAACGAACCGCGACATCACAAACTGTGACTGCTTATAAGCAACTCATGAGATGAGACACTTAGAGACGGACAGGGAAAGAAGGAAGAGCTTGGAGACGGGGAGGGAAAGAAATAGAGAGAGGCAAGGAAAATCAATCAGAAGGTCATTTACATCACTCCTCTGCCAGATGGCATTGTGGGAATAGCTGTCATACATTGGCAGTTCAAACGGGTGTGTGACATAAGTGGATCTGAGTGTGTGTGTGTGTAAAAGAGAGAAGACTGTGTGGAAGACTCATTAGGAAATAAAGAGTATGAACAGGTGGAGAGGAAAGGTTACATAGATCACTTAACAGATATGGAGATAAATAACTTTGCCCTGTGGTCAAGAGGAAATGAGATGAGGCTAAACCTAAGAGTGTGTAATATATTTTAAAATAAACATTTTAACTGCTATCCAGTGACATTAGAAGAAAGCGCCTATAAATATAGAGGCACTGAAAGAAGTGGTCCACATAATGCATCACAAACTGAAACATTTATATTTGCATTTGGCAGATGCTTTTATCCAAAGCAACTTTCACTGCATTCAAGCTGTAATAATAATAAAAAAAACTAAATTTAAATTGTGTGCTAATCACATTTCAATTATTTATTTCATTTTTTTTCTTAATATCTGTAATAGCCTGATATAGTGGCAATTCACAGACGGTTTTTTTAAACACTTTTATTCAGCGAGGATGCATTAAATTGTTTAAAAGTGACAGTAAAGATATGTATAGTGTTACGAAACAAAAATGTTACAAATGCTGTTCTTTTGAACTTTAGATATTCATTAAAGGAGTAGTTCACTTTTAAAAAACGTTTGCTGATAATTTACTCACCCCCATGTCATCCAAGATGTCCATGTTTTCCTTTCTTCAGTCGAAAAGAAATTTAAGGTTTTGATGAAAACTTTCCATTTTTCTCCATATAATGGACTTCAATGGGGACCAAACGGCTCAAGGTCCAAAAGACACTTTCAGTGCAAACTGCAAACTGTTCAAAGGGCTTTAAACGATTCCAGACGATGAATAACGGTCTTATCAAGCGAAACGATCGCTCATTTACAAAAAAATAACAAATTTTTAGTTTTATAAGCTCAAATGGTCGCCTTGCTCTGTTCTGTGATGCACGTTCGTGACTCTCCTGTTCGAACTCGTTCATCAAAATGAAGGAATCTTTTTTCGTGACATTTGGTTCATTCAACGAATGAAACGAACGAGTTGACTCTGGAAAAGATTTGTTCATTTTGATGAACGAGTTCAAATAGGAGAGTCACGAACGCACATCACAGAACAGAGCAAGGCGAGCATTTGAGCTTATAAAACTAAAACTTTGTTGTTGTTTTTTTTTTAAATGAGCAATCGTTTCGCTTGATAAGACCCTTATTCATCGTCTGTAATCGTTTAAAACCCTTTGAACAGTTTGTACTGAAAGTGTCTTTTGGACCTTGAACCGTTTGGTTCCCATTGAAGTCCATTATATGGAGAAAAATGCTGGAATGTTTTCATCAAAAACCTTAATTTCTTTTTGACTGAAGAAAGAAAGACATGGACATCTTGGATGACATGGGGGTGAGTAAATTATCAGCAAAAGTTTTTTTCAAAAATGAACTACTCCTTTAAAGAATGCAGTTAAAAATAAAATAAAATAATGTATCATTTTCCACAGAATTATTAAGCAGCGCAGTTTCAACATTGATAATGTTTCATGAGCATCAAATCATCATGTTAGAATGATTTCTGAAGGATCATGTGACACTGAAGACTGGAGTAATGATGCTGAAAATTCAGCTTTGATCACATTGATAAATAAATGTTTAAATAATAACTAAATGATTATAACAGTAAATTAAAATTTGATAAAACAGTTATGTTAAATGTAAATTTTTAAACCGTTATTTGAAAGTAATCATATGCATCTCTCAATCACAGGCAGCTGTAAATGACAGGCCTTTTCTAAACATATGGTCACATGACAAACATCGGGCACCGTTTTAAAGCACAGCTCCCCTATTCATAATGCGAGTTCAAAAGCAACAGAGAAATAGACAAAAAGAAAAGAGCGAGGGGTGTGAGAGATCATTAAAGGGTACAGATGGTGTCGGGGGTCAGAAGGGGTGTATCGTGTTTGAATGAATGTGTGTGTTCGTACTCACGCGTGAAATGGAGAGAGGCATGTTGAAGTCTTTCCCCCCCTGCAGTCTGAAGCCCCAAGGGGCCGGACCCTGTAACACCACACTGTATTTACCACTCATAGCTGTCTGATATCAAACACACCCTCAGAGACTGCAAACACACACGTAGAAACGCCTCACAGAATGCCCTGAGAAGACAGAGAGAGAAAAAGGGGCAAAAATGTTCAGTTGTTTAAAAAGTGTACATTTTCTAAATGAAATGTAAGTGGTGTGTGTCTGTGCAAAACACAAGTGTTGCTACTGCTATGCAGTTGTTAAAGGGATAGTTCACTTTTAAATTCATTTTTGGTATGTTTTATCTTACCTCAAGCGCATCCAAGATGTAGGTGTCTTTGTTTCCGCAGTAGTTTCAATTTTAATATTTTTAGGTCAAACCGTACGTGTCTGTCAGTCATATAATGGAGGTCTATGGTCACCACCTCAAAGAGCATGCACAGAGAAGTCCAAATTAAACCTGATTTAATGACTCGTAAATGTAAGTACACATTGATGGCCTAAGACACGAAACGAGCGGTTTGTGTGATTAAACAAACAGTATTTATATCGTTTTTACCTCTTGTAACCACAGGCACGTCCAAGTGATCTGAGGGCGCGGGTGCTTTGTGGCTGCAGTAACAAGAGGTAAAACGATATAAATACTGTTTGTTTTCTCACACAAACCGCTCGTTTGGTGTCTTAGGCCATCAATGTGTACTTACATTTACGAGTCATTAAATCGTGTTTAATTTGGACTTTTCTGTGCATGTTCTTTGAGGTGGTGACCATAGACCTGCATTATATGACTGACAGACACGAACGGTTTGACCTAAAAATATCAAAATTGAAACTACTGCGGAAACAAAGACACCTACATCTTGGATGCGCTTGAGGTAAGCTAAAACATACCATTATATGACCTCCCAGTCATATAATGGAGGTCTATGGTCACCACCTCAAAGAGCATGCACAGAGAAGTCCAAATTAAACATGATTTAATGACTCGTAAATGTAAGTACACATTGATGGCCTAAGACACGAAACGAGCGGTTTGTGTGATTAAACAAACAGTATTTATATCGTTTTTACCTCTTGTAACCACAGGCACGTCCAAGTGATCTGAGGGCGCGGGTGCTTTGTGGCTGCAGTAACAAGAGGTAAAACGATATAAATACTGTTTGTTTTCTCACACAAACCGCTCGTTTGGTGTCTTAGGCCATCAATGTGTACTTACATTTACGAGTCATTAAATCATGTTTAATTTGGACTTCTCTGTGCATGCTCTTTGAGGTGGTGACCATAGACCTCCATTATATGACTGACAGACACGTACGGTTTGACCTAAAAATATTAAAATTGAAACTACTGCGGAAACAAAGACACCTACATCTTGGATGCGCTTGAGGTAAGCTAAAACATACCATTATATGACCTCCCAGTCATATAATGGAGGTCTATGGTCACCACCTCAAAGAGCATGCACAGAGAAGTCCAAATTAAACATGATTTAATGACTCGTAAATGTAAGTACACATTGATGGGCTAAGACACCAAACGAGCGGTTTGTGTGAGAAAACGAACAGTATTTATATCGTTTTTACCTCTTGTAACCACAGGCACGTCCAAGTGATCTGAGGGCGCGGGCGCTTTGTGGCTGCAGTTACAAGAGGTGAAAACGATATAAATACTGTTTGTTTTCTCACACAAACCGCTCGTTTGGTGTCTTAGGCCATCAATGTGTACTTACATTTACGAGTCATTAAATCATGTTTAATTTGGACTTCTCTGTGCATGCTCTTTGAGGTGGTGACCATAGACCTGCATTATATGACTGACAAACACGTTTTGACCTAAAAATATCAAAATTAAAACTTCTCAAAGTGAACTGTCCCTTTAAGGTGTTCAATGTGGTTTCTTACTAGCAAAAAACTGTTTTACTTGAAGGAAAGTTTTAAGCTTATGAGCAATAGCAATAGTGATGCTTGCCTTATGAAACACTACTAATGAAGTTGATTAGTAGCAGAAAGATGTATTGAATAGATATTATTAAGAACATAGTGCCTTGTATGGGGTCTGTAAGATACTCAGCCGAGAGTTTTGGTTCAGTTTTGGCTTCTTATATCATTTTTTACCTCAACCATATACAAAAAGAACCTGAGGATGGTATATTTGACTCCAGAAGTATTTTGTATTACTTTTTTCATTCCTTATTTCTTTCATAACCCAATAATTCTCAAGATTTCCCTACTACTCTCAATTATCCTCATTTTTATACTAGGTCTGACCTTAGTGGGAGAATCTAGACAAATTTATCAGACTGTAACCGAAGATTCATTGTTAACCTCTCCATCATGTCGATTTTGTAAACTATTCCCAGCCAATCATTCATTTCCAGTATTTCAGGTTGCAACCATTTTCTGGTTATAGCTTTTCAAATATTTATCAGACTTGTCTTCTAATTAAGGATGTGTAAGACCAAAGTAAATTGGATGGGTACCTTGAATTTACACTCTCTCTTATGGATTTTAGAGATTCAATATTTAATAGTGAACTTTGGAGCATTCCCAGAAAAGATGTCTATGATTGGCTGATCCGAGAACACATTCTCCAGCAGATTGCACTTATGCTTTGATATCTCTTCAGCTCAGAGGTGAGGAAAAATACAGTGATCATTTTCCAACCGAATTATCTCTAAGTTGAGGAATGTGTTGTCTTCTGCTGTGATTTAAGAATACTTTTCCAATCTTCTTCTAGGATTTCAACATTTCCTTCCATTTCACTTTTATTTTTAATTTATTGGATATTTTCTAATTTACTGTCTTGTAGACTTTTATATAATCTCACCCCGCTTTATATATTGAAATAAACATTGCAATAATACTTTAGTTTTCCTTGTCAATATAGTCCCTGTATGTCTTATTTGTAAGTAACTATGAAAATCTTGAACATTTTTCCTTTATGTTAAAAAGTACGGTATGCTGTGAGAGCTCGTTTAGTCCAAGCTTTAAAGCTATATCATATAGTATTTGGATCAGATGTTGAATAAATTACTAGTCCACGTTTTTTAAAAGACGTTTTTTATGCTCACCAAGGCTGCACTTATTTGATCAAAAATACAGTAAAAAACAGTACTATTGTGAAATATTATTACATTTAAAAAAAAACTTTTATATTTTAATATTTTCTTCCTGTAAAGCTGAATTTTCAGCAGCCATTCCTCCAGTTTTCACCTGTAATACTGTATATATTTATTTATTTAAACAACCAGGATTATTGGATGTATAGAAAGTTTAAACGAACAGCATTTATTTGAAATACAAAACTTTTGTAACATTATAAATGTCTTTGCTGGCTGTCTTTGATTTGTCAAATTCAAAATGTCAAATAATACAATATCAGTATAAGTACATTAAAAAAGTTACCATGCAAGGTGAAGACACATGTTAATCAGAACACCTGGCAACAACAGCATAATTAATCCAGACACATTTACCTTCAGAAAGCAACACTCTTGAGTCTTGACTAAACGAAAACTCCTCGGCAGCACAGCCAATAATAAAGGTCTAAAGGTTCGACACAAAATGATCCACCCAGATGGTAGATTGTCATTTTATACCCATCATCTATCAGAGGGGGTGTGTGTATTTTGGGGGTTGGGGGTGCTGGGCTTACGCGCTGATATTTTGGGAACGGACCCTAGACGTGCTGCCAAACATTAAGCAGGTACCGTCATAAAGCCAGCTAGAACCCAGAACAAAGTTTCTGAGATTAAACGATCAGGATCAGACGCTGGAATGTTCCACGGGTCAGATGGGCGTCCTGTACTCAGCACATTTTAAGAGGGAACGCTTTCGTTTGCCAGCATCTCTATCTACTGCTCGTATTGTCCAATAATTCACCATGGGAAAAGAGTACGACTGCTGTAAACACTGGAATGGAGATGAGATCCACATGTGATTCGTTCTGTCATCATTATTCAGACGACTCTTCGTCAGCTCTCAGAAACTCATAAGGACAATTCAAGAATTGTTAGTAATGTTTAACCTATGCTGTTTATACCATATACATTTATACTAAATAATATCTTTCATCATTCTATTCATCTCTGTTATGGGTGGATGGATGGATGGATGGATGGATGGATGGAGGGGTGGATGGGTGGATGGATGGATGGATGGATGGAAGGATGGAGGGGTGGATGGGTGGGTGGATGGATGGATGGATGGGTGGATGGATCGATGGATGGAGGGGTGGATGGGTGGGTGGGTGGAGGGGTGGATGGGTGGATGGATGGATGGATGGAGGGGTGGATGGGTGGGTGGATGGATGGATGGGTGGATGGATGGATGGATGGATGGAGGGGTGGATGGGTGGATGGATGGATGGAGGGGTGGATGGGTGGGTGGATGGATGGATGGATGGAAGGATGGAGGGGTGGATGGGTGGGTGGATGGATGGATGGATGGGTGGATGGATCGATGGATGGAGGGGTGGATGGGTGGGTGGATGGATGGATGGATGGATGGAGGGGTGGATGGGTGGGTGGATGGATGGATGGATGGGTGGATGGATGTATGGATGGATGGATGGGTGGATGGATGGATGGATGGATGGAGGGGTGGATGGGTGGATGGGTGGATGGATGGATGGATGGATGGAGGGGTGGATGGGTGGGTGGATGGATGGATGGGTGGATGGATGGATGGGTGGATGGATGGATGGATGGATGGAGGGGTGGATGGGTGGGTGGATGGATGGATGGATGGATGGATGGATGGATGGATGGATGGATGGATGGATGGATGGATGGATCGATCGATGGATCGATGGATGGGTGGATGGATGGATGGATGGATGGATGGGTGGATGGGTGGCTGGATGGATGGATTGGTGGGTGGATGGATGGGTGGATTGGTAGATGGATGGATTGGTGGGTGTGTGAATGGATGGATGGGTGGATTGGTGGGTGTGTGGATGGATGGATGGATGGATTAGTGGGTGCATGGATTGGTGGGTGGATCGGTGGATGGATGGATGGGTGGGTGGGTGGGTGGGTGGATGGATGGATGGATGGATGGAGGGGTGGATGGGTGAGTGGGTGGATGGATGGATGGATGGGTGGGTGGATGGATTGGTGGGTGGATGGATTGGTTGATGGATGGATGGGTGGATTGGTAGATGGATGGATGGGTGGGTGGATGGATTGGTGGGTGGTTGGATGGGTGGATGGATATCATCATATATGTGTTGAGTGAGGGAGTTGTCCTGTATCTGACCCAGGTCTAATATCAATAATAGTTTAAAGCTCATCACAGTCCATGTGTTCCCTGCTACCCACTACACACACACACACACACATTTTGGGATTCCATGTTTTATGGGGACTTTCCATAGATAAAGATTTTTATACTGTACAAACTATGTATTATATCCCCTTACACTAACCCTAATCCTATGCATCACAGAAAACTTTATATATTTTTACATTTAAAAAAAAAACCCCAGCAATTTCTATGATTTATAAGCTGTTTTTCTCATGGGGACCAAAAAAATGTGCCCATGACACACACACACACACACACTCATCTCTATTGCCACAGAAGTGCAGCCATACATAAGGAAATCACAAAGTGACATATGATAAATGATATATGCAAATACACACAATAGAGCATGTGGATGCACACTGAGTGGCGGCAGTAAGTAGCTTAAGTGTGAACAGCTGAGACCAAAATGAGAACAATACATGCTGCTTGTGTGTGTGTGTGTGTGTGTGTGTGCGTGCAAATAATAGCTATTGGATTAAGTGCCTCTCTGGTTTACTGTTTTTTCCACCAAAGTGACATTGTAGATCCAGTGACTTGGGAGACACAAGAAAAACAGATTGTTGCAATGTGTTGTGTTTCATCTAGCCACTGGTTTTAGATTAAATGATTCATATTAGCATTACAAAGAGATTTAACTACATTTAATTACCATTATAGTGAGATGTTTCTAAATAAAAATAAAAACACAAACAAACTGTCTGGCTATATGTGACTCAACACTAATCTAATTTAATCCCAATCTGTCTGCACTGAATCAATTACACCAGACTAGCAACTAATTCAGTCGTCTGATACCTGCTGACACAACATTTACAAACCTGGAAGTCTAACTGCATAGGAAAGCAACAGCATTATTTAAAGCATAATTCATGTTTGAAACACAAACACTGTATGACAGATTAAACATTTAAGATTAATACAAATCTCTAAATACGAGTAACTGTTGACTTATTAAACATTACAATAAATAAACCCCCAAAAGGCATTAGTTCCTGGAACAGTGAGCAGATCTTCACAATGATCAATCAATGTTTTACATGCTAAAAATAAATAATGAAACAGTGCCTGTGCATTTGAGCATCTGCATGAGTCGGCGATCACGATGCATGCCTGCAATTTCATTCAAAAAATAAAAGTCCTGCTAAACTGGCACAGACATTGCAAAGAAGCTAGAAACAGTTCATCCAAAAGTTAACATATAATATGTATTTTAAATATATTGTAATGAAAGTTAAAAAAGTGAAATAAATAAAATAAAAATTAATACATTAAATTTATTCCATTTATGTAGTCAGACTTAAGATCAGCATCGAAAATATCTGCATGACACCAAGCGCTGTACAGACAAGAATCTGCAAAGCATCTCCATTTTATATATAATGACTTTTTTGAATAATTGTTCGCATGTGCTGCATGAGTAATGTGCTCATCCAGAGGGGGTGAAGACAGACACGGCCCCCAGTGTGCATAACATATGACATCCAGCCCATCCATATGGGGCCCCCTGAGACATCAATGAGGCATTACGACTCCTCGACACAACCAAATGTTAATCGCTTTCCACCGTTGAATTCAGTTTACTCAATTCACTCCATTTGTGGAGGTTACTAATATTGAGCAACTTGCATTCATGCTATATCAACAAAGATGAAAACCTAACATCATTTACACAAAAGAAATCCATGCATTCTTACATTTCTTCAGTGAATATGATAGAGTTATGAATTAGTATGTTTGCAATAACTAAACATCCAATGCCATCCTATAGCTTTGCTATATGTTGGGTAAACAACACACAAACCCCACACTGGCATACATTATAAGGCAGATCATGAACAGTTAGCACAAAAGGTTAAAATACAGTAGGTTTGGGGCAAGTTGCCACATTTATATAGGGACTTGTTGTTGTTCATGTGTTCACTTAAACAATGTTATTTTGAACAAAACTATATTTCTACATTTATTTTGTTCCACAAATTCCTTTAAGACTGTCCAACTGTTTACATTTGAGTGAAAAGACTTTAAATACACTTTTCAAATAACCGTATTCTTCTGAAATCAGTGTCAGTAAACAGCAAGTGATGCTGTGACAACATGCCCCGGTTGGAATTTCAAAGTGTCAGATAAAAAGTAGCCTATTAAACAGAAAACTATTCAAAACAATTCATTCACACAGCTGTGCTCCTATGACAGTTTAAAACGTTATCTCTTGTGTGATGTGATGAACCTGCACTTACCTGTGTCTGTGTAAGTCTGGGATTGGGATGAGGCGTCTGTTCAGATGAAGCGGCGCTGCGACGTTCATGTTCCCTCCGCGAGTGACGTCATCAAACATGGGCTGGACCAGAGACACGCCCTCTTCCTTTCGTCACGCCCATTACTCCGACCTGCCGATTCATACACTTACAAAAAATTACCTTAATGCAAAATATTACAAAGACAGACTTTTCTTCAACTGCCCTAACAACCCCCCCCCCCCCCTTTTTTTTTCTTCTTTTTTTTTTTTTCTGGATGCTGCATTACATTTTGGGATAATATGATGTTGGTAATATATTGTCCATGCTTCAATAAGTTCAAGAACGGTGATAAAAAAAAAAACATAAACAATTCTGTGTATGCAGCTAAATGACATATTATACATATGATGCAAAAAAAAGAAGAAAAAAAAACAAAAAAAACAACGTGGTGTAGCCTATGGTTTAACCATTATAAATATAATGTCCTGGTAAAAGTGCATACAAATTAAAAAAACAATATTAAAAATACAATATTAAAATAAAATAAAACACAATTCAAAGTGTAGCTGAATTACATGTTTCAATATTGTAGGCTACTGATAAAGTAAAAAAAAAAGTGGAATTTACCAATTTAATGGTTATAAATAAAAGTCCTGGGAAAGTACAAATAAAATAAAATAACAAAATAAAAATAAAATAAATAATAACATAAGAAAATAAAACAATGTAGGCAGATTTATTCAGTCTTATTGTATTTATATGCTTCCATGAAGAACATTTAGGATACCTGACAGAAATAGTTTAATAGTGTGGTTTTAAAAGTGGCCTCAGATTAAAAAAATTATAATGATTCACGATGACAACGTCATTACAGCACGACATCTACCTAAACATAAAGGCCCTGTATGACAGCTCTCGCAAAGACTAATGACTGTTTGGACAATCTGATATGTTAGACGAAGGATGAAAACCCCATATAGACAGTCTAAAAGCATCCACATTGACGTTAATGGGGGCTAAATGGGATGTAGTGTAAACACAGACCAACGCAGTGCATAAAGAAGCTATTATTAGCATCTCTACAAAGAATGGAGATCAATAATGTACTCTGGTTCAAACTATCCTCTAATTTTCCTAACAGCTAAATGTAGAAAGAGCAGTCAGAGTGATTGGAGTTTATTTAATGCTCTGGGCTAATGCACTCATAAACCAACAGAGACTGTTTAGAAATCAATGGGATCTAAATAATGTTGAATCTCTCTGAAGCACAGTTTAATGTTGCTTATATTGAGGTACTTGAGAGTGAGACCATTGTTACACTGTTTACTTAAAGTTAATCAGTTCTGTAAATTAAAGTTATACTGTGAATCATTTTACTGGAGCGCCCTCTGCTGGATGGAGAATGAACACGAAGATCTCTGTCTTCTAATCTAGAATATTTGACCATTTCCGTAAATAGGATAGGCATAAGATTAAAACTCTCTAAAAAAAAAATGTTTTTTTTCCCCCAACATATTAAGCATGAAATAAATATTATAATTAAAAATCAATATCTAGAGAGTAGGTTTGTCAATGTCCAGTGTAATGCCAAAATGCAGTAATGTATACACAATACAACATTTATTTTACACTTTTGCATTTGTAAAAAAATATAAATAAATATAATATATACATAATAAGTAATGATTTATTGAATACATATATTAAAAAAAAGTTGAACACAGCTAAATATTATTTTGACCGTCATTTGTAGCTGATTAAACAAATACATGTAAATGTACTTTTTGTTCATAATAAATTATCTTTTTGGTCATTAATTATTTAGTATTGAACATATATTTACTTGTCAGGACAGTTAAGGTTCAAAATGATGATAAGGA